TTCAGCCCTCCTGAAAGCTTGTGATATTTCTAGTTGTTTGCAAGTTAATTAACCAAGTTCAGTTTGATACATACCTGATACTCTTCAGAATTATTTAATTATTGTAGGTTCTTAATCAATGTTCGTATGAAATCATCAATCATATCAATTATATGCGATATGTGGCACTCATTTCTCTACGAATTCAAACGGTAGATGAAGAAAAGATAAAAATAAAAATCAATTCCAACGCCCTGTAGCGGCTAAACGGAGCGTTTTAGTATCTATGTGTTTGGTTCTTTCATCTCACTTTGATCTCAGGAGTCTATGGTGTCATTTTGTATGGACCTTTCAGGGACACCCTGTATATTTTGTTCGGTAACGAATTGCAAAAATTCGAAGCTTGATTGTTAACATTTATTTGAGTTGCCCAAAGACGAGACGACATTTCAAATGTTCGTTGAAGCTTTGAATTCCAATTTTCATTTCATGGAAATACATTCATTGACATAATATTGATATAACTACTCAATGAGCATTATAAGCCTTTGACGTTACGCCAATGTTAGGATTTCAAATACTAATATGTCTGCACTCGTTTAATAAAGGGGTACAGAAAAAGGTCATCCATCTCTTATAAAACATATTTGTGTCCACACTCAGAGCGTAAAATGAGATGTTGAAGGCACTCTAGTACCGGGTAACAAATTAATTTTTGTAGGAATGAAAATGAAAAACAGTCTAACAGGGGACATATTTTACTTTTTGACTCAACTCCAGCAGCCAATGATCTCAGCTACTCAGCTATTTGTGGTATTCTAATTAGGTTAGAAACAAATTGAAAACTTTCTTATTTGCCTTGAATACTCGTGATGAGTTTTCATCTCTCAAACAATTATGGAATTATATTTTTCCCCATCATCCACATTTTGGCTGGAGTTGGAGTAATTGAATTCTTAATTGCCGATGTTGGAATATAAAATAAAGAAAATCACCTTGATAGTGAAATACCAGATAACTTGAAAAGGAATAAGTAATAGTAGTTTCGAGGACTAGTGGTGGAAAAAATTACTTACCTTATCAGTCCCAAGTCCATAATGATCTGTACCTACTTTTTGTTTCAATTGTCAACAAACTCAGATCATACAAACTATTTCTCATTTTAATGCTGCAATAATGAAATAAACTATATTGAAGAGTGGAACCTCTGGCACGATGATACACTACACTGTTTTACCATTAACCAAACCGATCTTTTGATCGCCTCGACGTGTTTCGCTAACTATTTTAGCATCTTCAGGAGAAGATTGATACTGGTTTCGCTATGTTACCATCTTCAGCTAATATAGTTAGCGAAACACATGTCGAGGCGCTCAAAAAATCGGTTTGGTTAGTGGTGTTACAAGTGTAGTAAATGAAATGAAAAATAAGTGTTTAGAATTCTCATACTAAGTCTTGCACCCATCAAAATTATTGAAACAGATTGAAAATGTATTAATCATGACCTAACTGTGAATAGTATTTTTTTCTTTCAGTGTCATTCAAGAAAAACCTTGGGTACAATTGGATTCGTTTCTGCCTTACTTGCAACCGAATTCTGCCTGGCTTGTGTTCAATAAGTATCCTGAAAAAGTAGATGACTAATCAAAATCTACGTAAATATATTAAGAGTCAACCACCTCATGCAATAACTACGGGGTCGGTGCAAAGTATGAAGGCTCCAAGCAGGATGAACCCTAGGCGGGGTCAACATTTTTCCTTTCTCACCCTCGCTATCTCCCAATTTAAGAAAGACAAACATTTGAACTGAAAAAAGTTATCCGAGAACACTGAGAATGTCATGAAAATTTACCCAGATTACTCATGAGTTTCAAAATATCATTATAAGTCATGGAATGCATTGTGAAAATTGATGAAGAAAAATATGTTAGTGATATAATGTTCTGCATTCATGACGATAGTCATATTCAAGCTATACATGGTGTTACTTGAGTATGCAGCCAAAATTCATAGGGCGATTTTTTTATGCTGAGACGAAAAGTTTATACAGGGTGGTATTGAAATAAGTGCACATATTTCAAACCTTGAGAAAGTTTGACGTATACTATCGGATGACACCACTGAAAATAGGGATCAAAATAAAATTTGGGGTTAAACCCCCTTTTCCACCCGAACTGTACCAATTCTGACGTCACATCTGTTCAAATTTGCATGCGAAAAGCACAATCACGCGTTAAATCATTTAAATGTTGTTTCCGGCTCGAAGGACCAATTCTCTGTTGAATATTGGAAGGTATTTCCTTCCTTTTGTATTAATATATGAATTCAATGATTGAAGTTTTATTATATTTTGATTGACGTTATTTATTAAACAAAATTATTGACATAGCAACATTATATAAATTGAAATATATACAGAGTAGTGAAACCTCAACATTTGTTGTTCAATTTTCGGGATAAAAGCTCTCGTTAATTAGAAGAATAAGAAAAAATCTGATATTATGGGAATATTCGTTAGACTGTATCATATCGATGCTTATTTCAAAAAAACATCTAACACATTCATATGGAAATGCATATTTTCCAAAAAAAGGGTGTCAAATTCTTTCTAAAAAATCATTCCAATTTCTCGAATAATTGATTGAAACTCTGTATGTGAGAAGAATACTGAATTTTGAGCAACTTTCTCAAATAACTTCTTTCGATATCTAGCCATCTGATCCCACATTTTGCCTTTTTATAGTTATTTTTTTCAATTAATTGCCAGTCATTACGTGACATGTCAGAATCGATATTTAGGTTATTAAAAATGTTTTTTCGATACTCCAATCAATACATTATTTCCCATTTATTTTAGAGTTAATGGATGACACTGTATGCTAAAGAAGAGGCGAAATATTCATTTCTACAGACTTTTCGATTTTTTTCTCTTTGTCTATATAAATAAAATATAAGTAAGTAGTACAAAACAAATGAGTTTATTTATAGACCGAGAGAAAACTCCAAAAATTATTGATTATATTAAATTAATGAAAAACTAGCTTTTCTTCTGGATATTCCTAAAAGAAATCGGCAATAGTGAACAGGTTTCCAGGATCTCAGCATGCTCATGATGGTCAACCTTTTTCAGTTTGTCTGTTGCTGAAATAGGTCATGTGCAAAAAAGGCAAATTTTCAGGCAATTTCCATATTCAGTTTTTACTACATTCATAGATCTATAGTGTGACCCACCTCAAATCAGAGTACCTCACTAAACGTCACATTCTACAAGCAATATCATGAATTTTTCTTCCTCAGTCTTAGCACAGATTTGCAGAAAATTACAATTTCCATTTTACAAGCAATATATTCAATTTTTCTTCACCAGTCGTAGCACAAATTTGCAAAAAATAGCAATTTCCATTTCTGCGACATCTGGTATTTTTTCAGATGACATGACCTGTGGAATGTTATTGGATGACTTTTTGTTGAATTTTGACTCTAACAGGGGATTTCAAATTGCAAAATTATCAGTACTAAAACAGGTATGAGAACATTAACATGTTGTCAACAGCATTCTTGTACATAGAATAATTAATTGTCTCCTTCAGACAAAGCTGATGAACATTTTCCATGGGATTATCCAAACTACGGGATTCCAAATCCTAAGAAGGAGTCAATATTCCACACGAGGAAAATTGTCAACAATTATCCGATTTTGACATACAACAAAAATCATAGTGTGCCCTGAAAATTAGAATCATTCGGACAAATATGTGCTGATAAATGCCAGTTCTGAAGACTTTTTGAAATCGACTGTAAAATGTGGATTTTATAGGATGTTAAATGGAACATGAAAGAGAGAGAGAAAGGGACCAAAATTCCCGTAATATTTTCGAAAAATGTTACATACAACCTATGGCAGAAACAGCGACAATTAGTCTGGCTACACAAACAACGTGACTCGGTACCCGTACGACCATGTTGAAATCATTACAATCATCATTTTTTTCTGGAAAGGTTCAATGCATGAAGTGGAACGTATATGGGGGAGAAAGCGACGAATGATGCAAAATTTCGAGGTAATCTTTTACAAACTACATTTTTTAGTTCCATATGATCAGTGTTCTCTCAGTAAGTCAGTAATCTAACGTCCTATAACAAGATATTTGTTTCTGATTATATTATGGTTTGTTTTTGCACTGCTTTGATGTTTCAATGTATCTGAGTTACCAAGAACCAAATTGAGTCAAACCTTACTGCTTCTACAAATATCCTAATTTTATATGTGAAGTTATCCATTTTGTTAAAATGGTTTCAATTCTCCTTCTGCGAGTCCATCTGGCATATTTTGGCGCATTATAGTTTCTTTCACTGATAACTTATGTGTGAACCATAGATTTATCACCACTTATCGATAATGATTTTTCGTTTCTCAGTAGGTGTGATTTTTAGAGAGAAGCTAAAGTTATCAACAATATGAAGGCGAATAAGCAGTTCCTATTTTCTATTCCTAGCTTGCATGCAATCCTTTCAAAAAATTGCAAACAGTAATGTTTCATAATAGCACTGATGAGATTCCCAGTTCCAAATCGAGTTCCAAATCTATCAATCGAGATATCTTATCATTGCAACTCGATGCGGCTTGCGGCATTTCAGCTTCCGGAAAATTGACTGCCAATTGTCAAACTCATTCTCTAACATTGCATATGAGATATAGCTATGTGAACGAATCATAATGACTGTACTAATGACTTCAATTACCATCGAAATTTAGCAACTTTCACCACTCGCTCCCACACAGAAGTTCCCTAGACTACCCAATCAGACTAGCGCTTTCCTGAGTCACATCATAAACGGAACCTTCCCTGAAAAAAAAATCTATTGCTCCGAATCACGCCGACATTCATGTAGTCAGACCTCAGTCTATATGCCTTCTTTCCGTAACAGTCCATATAGGATCCAGCGACAGTAAAAAAACAAACTGCCGACCCCGCCCTATACGTAGTAAGCAAAAAAGTGTGTTATATCCAGCCGCCTACCTCAATGATCAGGGGCTCTACCAACTTATTATCCGTTATCCTCGTCACCACCGTTTCCGTAAAGGTGCTCTTCGTGATCGTTTCGGTCACCTTACCGGGGCCCGTGGGGGCCGGCGGCAGCTCGACCAGCTGCTCGGGCTTCCGTATCGTTACCGTCGTCACGGAATTCGCGTTTTTATCGAGATTCGGGGGCGTTGCTGGGGTAGGAGGGGGCGAGGCAGGGGAGGGGGCGGGTCTAAGGAAGTGGGCGGGGATCATCGCCTGGAAGTCCTCGTTGGTGATTGGCCGCGGCAGTACCTGCACTTCTTCGTCCAGTGAAGAATTGGAGCCGCTTGGCTGGTTGAGAGGGGGCGAGGGTTCGCCGTTGAGCGAGCCGAGATTGCGGGGGGCGGGTTTCGGGGGCGCGGCCCTCGGCTGGGCGTGGTCGAGGCCGTTGGTCTTGGGCGTGGCTGGACGGATCGGCTGCGGCGTGGGCGTCTGAGGTTTGGCAGGTTCTGGTGAATCAGATTCCTGGAAGAGGAAAATGGAGACTTATGGTAATGACTGATCAAAAAAATTGATACGTATATTTCATGAGGGAACAATTTTTTTCTCCATGCGACATAAAAAGTGGGTTCTCTCTGACAATGAACATGCAGGAAGGGTGTACTTTCTCTGCTTAGACAAGAAAAGTTTATTGCTATGTAACGTTTCAAGTAAATTGAATGAAATCGGGAATCAGAATTGACAATGACAATGGGTGAACACAAAATGATGATAACAATTGAAAAAAATACTATATGTTCCGCACGGCAGCAAATGTAGATTGTCTGCCTTGGTTGAATTCCTAGCCTCGCTAAGCTACTATCAGCATGGCAATCAATCTACTACTTTGCTGCCTAGTAAAACAAATAACTATTTCTTGAAGCCCAACCCAAGAAGTGAAAAGCTAGCATGTGAATCTACTGATTTTCCATTCGGAATTCAAGAGAATTCTCTGAAAGTGACACATCTTGCGAGTTCATTGACCCAATTTTTTTCTGCCAGTCGATGGCGTTGATCAACTGAGAACATTGGGAGCTAGGTCATTTATTTCAATAGGATAATTTCGTCTAAACGGCAGTTTTCCAAACGTGCCATCTGACAATTTTGATTTGATTGTCTAATTTAAAGTTAGTTGTTGGTTTGTTTGATTTTGGTGTTCCTTTTTGCACTTTTACAATGAATGTTATTTTATAACAATGGATTGATTTCAAGGATTAAAGATGATGTAGTAAGATTATCAGCAATAGAGAAGTAAATAAGCAATTCCTACCATTCATTATTAGGTTGAATGCCATCATTTAGATAAAGTGCGAACAGTAATGTTTTATCACAGCACTGATGAGTTTACAGTTCCTACTCAAATTCAAATAACATCAATGAATCGAAAATTTTATCAACGCATCAACAGTTTTTTTTTTAGGAATTCTGCTTTCCTTATCTATGTACATACTTGAAAGTACTTGAAATGTTTGAACATGAGAATTTTTTTATTATAAACTTGGCAGGAACTTGAAAATTTTTTAGGGTTAGGGATAATAAATGACCAACTTAGAAAAGAGGTCCCTAGCTTACTGAAAATGCGGTCAATGACGGCGATTTTCGAACTTTTTTTATATACAGAAAATTTTTCTGAAAATGGCATCAAGCTTTTAAATAACACTTAGCAAGCATAAAATATGTACTTTTACAGCCTAGGCAGAAAAACTACTGCCTATGCAGAAGAAGTATGTTGCTATGCAACGTGCCAAGTAATAATTTGAATCAAATTGGTTTTCAAAATTGACAATGACTTTGGGTGAACACAAAATGATGGATTATTTTGACTTTGCGTGGAATCGAAACGAATTTGGAGAAAAAATAACGTTCTTCACATGGCAGAAAAAAAAAGATTCACTACCTGGGTTGGTTTCCACGGCATTGAATCGTGTGCTTTTCTGCCTAGCAAAACAAATAACCATTCTCTCGCCTACTAACTAGGTTTTTATTCAGAATGAGATTGGTCAGGATAATTATAGATTGTATTCCAATTAAAAACAGACAAAAAAATGCTTCTGAAAGTTAGACACAATTTGTGGTATGTAGCATTACATTCGAAGACTCACCTTCTTCTCGATTTCAATCGACCTCCTATACCCGGCATACCCGGGCCTATTCGCCAAATAACTATTGGCGGCGTACAGTCCCGTATAGGGCTTCGGCAGCCCGAACATCCGCGGCGACTGCTGCGGCCCCGGACTCCTGTTCACCTCCTCCCCGTTCCCATCCAAATCGAGGACCTCCCTCTCCACCGTCAGCCTCACGAACCTCTCCAGTCCCGTCAACATGCCGACGGCCTGATCGTGCGTGGCCTCCGACAAATCGACCCCGTTTATCGATATGACTCGATCGCCCACTCGCAGTTTCCCGTCCTTATCTGCCACGCCCCCATCGGTGATGCGAGACACGAAAACGGCATCCGAGTCGTCCTTGAACGGCTGCGCGCCCTTGCCGCCCGCTATGCTGAAGCCCAGCCCCCGCGAATCACGGATGAGGGTCGTGTGCACTAAGGCTCTCGGCGCAGAAGCAGCCACGCCTACTTCAACAGGTGGGAGAGTGGGCGTGGTCACCTGTTGCTTTATCAGCTTGGTGACCTCGCGAGTGACGACTAGCACCAGCACCTGGCCGGAGGCTTTCAGCACTTCGACGGCGTCGTAGTGGCTGGCGCCGATTATGTTAGCACCGTTGACGGAGAGCACTTTGTCGCCGACTTTGAGGCCCGCGAGGTCTGCCGGGCCATTTTCGGTCACGCGGGATATAAAGACGCCCTCGTCGTCTCCCTTGAAGGGGGTGGAGCCGCGGCCGCCGGCTATCGAGAGGCCGAGGCCGGTTTGCGAGCGCTCGATGTGGATCTCGTACTTTTCTTCGCGGAGTTCCACGGCCGAGTCGGAGTCGGCTGGAAAAGAAAAACAATTGCTTTGATTATGTTTCTTGCGAGTCCTGTTCGGAGCCGTATAAGTTTTTTAAAACGAATTGGCCCAGTTGTAGCCAATGTAAGTTTCTCCTTATTCTGTTATAGATGGCGGTATAAAAACCAAAACTCAATAATACTCAGTTGATTTCGAAATTCAATTTTTATAGAGTTCCATTGCTGTTTGAAAACGTTGTTTGACAATAATGACGATATAGACCTTTATGAGACGTCACAAATTTCTTGGTCTATGGTAATGTGTATTGTGAATGTTATTTCAAACCCTATAGTTTCACTAACAGTGAATACATCATCCTGAATGTAAATCACACCTATACTCTAGTATATGAAACCTTTTAGCAGTACTACATCAGTAAAATGTTAGTGGCGCTATATTAGCAAGAACAAACAATTGAACTGCATCTGATTTAGATCGTTCCACCATATGTGAATAAGGTGTGATGTTACTGTGTACTCACTGGTCAAAACATTCTAATCGTTTGCAAGTATTCCCAAGAACTTATAACCTCCAAATGTTGAGAAAAAATCCCAACACCTACCTCCTCTAACTATTTTCCCCAAGTACTCACGATTTTCTTCGAACTTTATAGAAATTTCCTTTCGTGCGCTCCAAAATATAAGAAAATGTGTATTCTTGAATATTTTTCAATTTCATTGACAATGAGAAGCAAGGTATACGTGTCAATAATAAGAATGCATAAATCAAACTCGAATTTTTTTGAACTAGTTTTCTATCTCGTCCAGGTCAAATAAAAACGGAAAGCATTTTGACTTCATTATACAGGGTGTCCCGAAATTAGCCTGCCAAACTTCACCTGCGGCTTCTACGACCAAAAATAGGCAGAAAAGTTTCTATGAACGTAATATTTCTTGAATATTCGAAACGCCATGTGGTGAAATGATGCATTTCGGTACAGTAACCCAACTTTTCATGCCCAATGCATTGGAGACAACATCATTCGAAAACTCCATTCAGGAGTGTATAATACAGGGTGAGACTAAATTAAATATTTGACAAACTTTTATATATGCATATTTTTCGGAATTTTTTTTTGGTACTATGAACATTCACACCATTTTACAAAAAAAGGTGCTCTTGTTTCGTATCGATCAGATGTACATCTTCGAGTGAAATCGATTTGAAAATATTGTTACACTCACATCTTAGTGCACAACGTTGCCAATTTTCAAATCAAAGTGGTTATACCAAAAATCGACTACTTCATTTTCACCAAACAATCTCATAGAAGCGCGTGAAATCGGAAAATGATGATAACAAACAACTTAAATTTTTGTACATTATTTCTCCAAATCCACTACGATAGATTGCAATGTTATGCGCCATATCTGTGTAACAATATTCTTAAATCTATTATAATCGAAAATCTGATCAATACGGAACAAGCATACCCTTTTTCTCTAAAGAGGTGTGGATTTTTATAATCCGATAATATATGGTCGAGAAATATGCATATAAAAAAGTTACAGCAATATTCAATATAGTCTCACTCTGTATTATACACTCCTGAATGAAATCTGGAAATCATTTTATTTTCACTGCCTTGGGCATGGGAAGTTTAGTTCTTGTACCAAATAGCATCATTCAATCACGTGGCGTTTCGGAAATATTCAAGAAATATCATCTTCAGGAGCCCTCTTAGACATTTCTCGACTAATGTTCATCGAAACGTTTCCTCCCATTTTTTGTCGTAGAAACCGCTGGTGAAGTTTGGCAGGCTAATTTCGGGACACCCTGTATTGTCAAGCGGAGTGCGTTTATTTGTAAAAAGCCAAGTACCACCACCAAGTACCACTGGGAATCTCCAAGAAGATTATGTGTAGATGTGGTGGAGTTTCATATAAAATAAGCCATCTGAACTGTTTGTTTTATTTGACACCGATCATGTACCGATAAAAGGGTGCAACGAATTTATCGACGAAAAATATTTAGTGATTTATTATGCCCACCCTTTCATCCCCTAGCTGACATCCATGCTTACTTCTGAGAACTTCCCACTGCGTCTTTCAACTCTAATGGAAATAATGGACCTCCTAGTAAGTCAATTAAATCAAAGTATCGACACAATCATTTCACGGCGAAATTCGTGCTTTGAACAAAGGATTTTATCGATTTACTTTGAGGAGATCACCTTCTCATTATACTGTTCCTTGAAATCTAATACATATTTTTTCAACGTCAACTAATAATAGGTATAATGATAATTTTGGTACTCATCAATCGACATTCAGTACTAATAAATGTCTTATTACCTACTGGTTATGTACCCTCAGCATGGAAATCTGAGATGTTTTTTTCAAAAAAATATATTAACTCGCCATTTCCAACAGCTTAGATGCGTAGTACGAATTTATTTTTTTAATACAAATTCAGTTAACTGAACTGAGAGTCATAGAAATTCCTCTTCATATTTTTAAATATATGAATGTTAATCTGGAATGCCCTGTATGCAAGGGTATGCAATTATCATCTTCGATGAACAATGTAGTGATTTGAATGATGTGTGCAAAAGTCATCTCACACCCGGTAGCGATTTTACTAAATATACTGCACGCTAGCACAAACCACGCCCACCATAATACGTCATATCTCCTAACATTACCGATATACTCGGAGTCAGCACATCGCACTAAATATACTGTGCTCCAACGCAAGAATACACTTTTTATGATTTTGACACGAATTCGACTGAAGCTCTCTCGTTGTCAATCTCTTGTACGCTGTCGACTTTCAGTCTGAAGGTCCATGGTTCGAATCGCTGTGAACTTGAACTTTTTTTTGCAACTTTTTTTTTTTCACCAATGTTTTTTTACTTCATTCTGGTTTTCCTTTTTCATAAAATTTCATAAAGTCAAATAGGTTAGTGCGTTTAGGATAAACAGTCTTTACTTAGGCAAAACTCAGAGACTATTTATCCTTAACGAACTAACCTATTCCTGATTGCAATATTTTTGAGGAAGGAAAACCAGAATGGAGTGTAAAAACACATTGATTAATAATATATTTCAAAAGTTAAGTTCTTCAACAAAATTGAATAAAATGAGACTGTTTATCCTAAACGCACTAACCTATCTGACTTCAAATATTTTCTGAAGAAGGAAAACCAGAATGAAGTAAAAAAACATTGGTGAAAAAAAAGTTGCAAATCAACTTCACAGCGATTCAAACCATGGACCTTCAGACTGAGAGTCGACAGCGCTAACCAGTAGACCGTTTGGGTATATAAATTTACTGCATACAAGAGATTGACAGCGAGAGAGCTTCAGTCGAATTCGTGTCAAAATCATAAAAAGTGAATTCTCGCGTTATTGGAGCACAGTATATTTAGTGCGATGTGCTGACTCCGAGTATATCGGTGATGTTTGCAGATATGACGTATTACGGTGGGCGTGGTTTGTGCTAGCGTGCAGTATATTTAGTAAAATCGCCACCCGGTACAAGTGTACACAGAATTCCTGTGATCAAATTACGAAAGACATCACCATTGTAGCACAGCGAATGTGAATGGCATCAGTTATTAGTAAAATCGAGGAATGCGATCGGAGACAGGCTGTTATTCAACGGTTCATTTAACATCATTACGATCTGATTATGCCTGGAAAATGATAACATCTGAAACATCGAAATATTGTTCGATGGTATACCTATTGAATAGTATGTATAACAATAGAATAGACGACTCAATCGGAACTGTAGATGCAGGACTTTAGATTAGAAAGCATCCATGACTCAGGTTAGTTTCAGTAAGGTATTTGTAGTGAACCGATACAATATTCAATGCTGGAAATTTTAGTGGACGAAGTAGGTACTAGAAGGAAAATAAAAAAGAAAAAAATCTATACTACTGGGTGTTTCAGAACTAAACTGGTCAACATTGATAACTTCGTGGTCTAAAATATAGCCTGAATTCAAAGTAGAATAACTCACGATTCTCACGAATTTCCTTACGAATTTGAAATCGGTTTCCACCGATGATTAGCCCAATCTCTTGACAGCTTGTAGTGGCAATATGAAACTTCTGTAATTTCAGATAACATTGCTACACGGTGATAATTGAATAGGTGTAAAATTGCATCATGGTCTCCACCTTACCGTTTAAACAGATAATTTTTTCAATTTTGTTTCTCACCTGTTTTCTCTTCATTGATGCTTTATCTCGAATAGTTTTCGGAATTTTCAAATTCAGAGCTTTGATAATCGTGTTATGAATATTCATTCAAAATGATGCATTTTTTCGACGACTAATCAACCTTGTATGTATAGTCGTCGGATATGTGATCGTGTTCGAACACAGAAAATTCTGAAGAAGTCTATACAAAGTGATACAAGAAATACTGAATGATTGAATGGAGAATAACGTAGTCTTCTCCCTAGGAACTCACGATGTTCTTTGAACATTATAGGAATTTCCTTTCGTGCGCTCCAAGCGATAAAAAAATTGTCTGTGTTACTAGTGAAATAATGGAGTGTTACTTCGTCATGAGGATGTCAGGTGTCTGACCTCGAAATGGTTTTTTCTACTCACATAACTAAAATGGCATTTATCGTACGGATATGTACCACGCTAAATGATCTATTAATCACGGATTGTCGATCTGTGATTTATTCAAAATATTAAACACGTTACCATGACAACACGATTTCTAAAACACATTACCATGGCAACGCAGTTCATTAAACACAGCTTCAGTAATTTGAGACATGTCTGGCCTGTCAATTGTATCAACTGTCAACTGTTATTTTCGAATTGTTTCAGAATTATTCAAACAATATTCGTTTGTATCAGAATTCTTCATTAAAAATATAATTATATGAAAAGTAGACGAGAGTGAAATCGAAGAGAATGTTCTGGTACTTGCATTTCTCCAAGAAGTGTAAAAATGAAGCATCCATCTTTGAGAACAATTTATTTATTCTGCGCTAAGCATGACAGTAAACGTGAAAC